AAAAATCACCGGAACGAAATCTTTCAAACCAATTTCGACACTGCCTTTCTTTTAAGGCTTCATCTCCATATACGGCACATAACTTCTTTTGTGCTTGCGATGCGTTCTTGCCTTTTCGGAAGTAATACAATAAAATGTGTCGGAAGTGCACGTCCTGTTCTTTCATTTTTAAATTGGGATAAAAACAAAACTAAAGAACTAAACAAAAAAATTTTTTTACTAATTAACCTAGAAGCCCATACAGTAAGAAAAAAATATAGGTTAGATGCTCTGGCCACGTTAAAAAAACAAAAGAAAGTATAGAGTGAATCTGTCAACAAAAACGGCAATGACTTAGTTGCCCACCCAATACTTTTAGGTTTTAGATTCCCCTCATAATAAATGTTTAAAAAGTTTATTTTGGCCTATTTTAGTGCCTCTAGGTGCTTTTAGGGGCTATTTAGGTACCTTCAGACTAGAACTTATTTCTTCATTCTAAGGAGACAGAAGAGGGGATTGTATTATTTTGCATTTAATCGCCTCCATTTTCATCCGATCTTCCAAGTAATCGATGCCGTGAGTATCTCCGATCCAATTCCCAGTGTACTCATTAGAATTTATATGCAGATTTACCATTATACAAAGTGTCCTTGAAGACGAAGCAAAATTCATACTGTATTAATTTTTTGTTTCAGTAAATATGAACCTCGGTGTACACGAGTAGCTCGTAATACCAACGATCCCGTTTGGATTCACAACTTCACTTTCGACAATTTTGTCTTGAGTGGAAAAGAACTTGAAGTTGCTGTTTTTGACTATCGACAGGGCCGAACAGCTTTCATTGGAGAGGTATGGTTAATTTGAAAATGCTTTGTTCACTGCACAATGGTCGTAACAGAGAGGAGATCTTAACAAAATCCATTGAATTTTCTTTTTAAGGTGCTAATAAATCTTCAAGTGGCGGATATTTCGGGCAGAGCATACTGGTATCCTATACCCCCGCCTTGGGATGCAACTGACCAGGATATTTCCAGCCAAGTGTGTACTTTTCCATATATGAACTTAATTTAATTGAGACAGCCTAAAGATTGCACTAATAAAGTTAATTGGTTAATTTATACGTTCCCATTGATCCTGTTGAAAATCTAACAGTGATTTTTTAGTTACAGCACAAAGAAATGCCATATGTTCAATGAATTATTCGAATTCAAGGGAATTTGTGGAACTATTTACTTTTGGTTTCGCATATAAATTATTGAAACTTTGACGAAACCCGTTAAACCACCTAATTTTGTTATTTCTAAATTTGAGTACTTTAGGGTATCTTATTGCCAAATTCTAAAATTAGCGAATTTAAAACATGGTTATACAGAAAGAATAATTGTCAAATTGTGTGAAGCAGTCATTAGGCGATATCAAGAAGGTCTATAACTTTTCATCTAATTATTCAATTATTTCAAAATTCTACGAATTGTGCCAATGCGAGTTGAAAAATCGATTAATTAATGCAAAGTAATTCCATTTATGCTGCTTTGCAGGTTCAATCCGAAAGTGGAACGTTCGAACCAGGTGAGTTCTTATATCCCATCTTGGCCGTTTTAATTCATTTTGAATTTTAATATCGAGCCCCATATTACTATTGAAATTTAAATGAACAATCTACATTTATTATTTCACGATAGCTACTTATATATTTCAGGTAGTGTTGTATAATTTACTCTTAGTCGTATCTGTGTGTTTCAGATGACTGGTCGGGAGAAACATCAGAGCGTGGAATGGGACAGGGACAACAGAGATTAGAGCGTGGAAGCGAAGCACGCTCACTTCGCAACATCAGTCCCCGTTCAGTGCCTAGCCAACTATCGTCGGCTGTACGTCAGCGACGTCAACAAATGGAGGGTGAGCCACGTACATCGCGCAAGGTCACCCGTGCGTCTGCTCAACCAGAACCTCCAAGAACCCATCCCCTGGATAGGTTAGTCTCCTCCGATCTCAAGTGATCCCATTATTAAACATTTTAAAGCAAAAAATTATGCAAAAATGTCATTTATGGGAAGCAACTGGAATCGGTTAACAGGAAATTCAATAAATGACAATGGGAAGGGATCTAACGGATCTAGTAGCAACGGCAGTGTCAACGGTCTTACTTAAACTAGTTTTGTGGCTTGTTTATAAAGTGCATTGATAATTTTCGAAGGTAAAAGGTGACCAATAGGCATCTTAATTAGTGAGCAAATTCTTGCCAATGACGTTCAATGTCTAAGGGTCGATTATTTTTAACTAGGAAAGATCAGTCAATCACATTTTATTCATTTTTACTTCCAATGCCTAAAACTTCGAAATTCTCATTCATGTCATTCGTTGACCTCAACATTATAAATGTGTCCTGATTAGAAGGTTCAAAAATGATTTAGCATACTTCATTGATAGATTTTGTATAAGTTAGGGAGGAAATCTTGTGCATATAGAATTAACAGTCATTCGTTTAAAGTCTCAAAATATGCTGTTCATTACTGATTCTTTTCCTATTGATTGTCCTGACTCTGAGAACGAATTGGAATTTACTTTAACTCAGCTAAAATTCCTACAAATACACTAATTTAATAATTGGATTGTCCGACTGTCTGTCTGTTTAGCCAACAAAGCATTGTAATTGCCATAATAACAAATTTCTTTCAGTGCACTTGTATGGATCCTATGCCGTCCATCAAAAGTATTTCATAGTGTCCCTTATCACTCTTTAACACTCATCTCCAGCTAATGGCGAATTTTGAAGCGATTTTTTTTCCAAAATTCCTCATTTATATCTTTATACATTTTTTGAAAATTATTTTACGGCTCGTAATACATTTGTCGCAAATGGGGTTTGAATGAGGGTTCCAACAGATCTTCGATCGAGATATTGTGCTCAAATGGGCTCCCCTCTTTTCCTCCCTTCACAGAACTCGAAGGTCAACCCTTTCCACACTAGGATTACCTAGTTAACGATCATCCTTTACGTTGCGGTAAGCATGACTGTAGCCTTTGTGTGACTTTTCAAAATTTAGTCCCTCTCGCTGTCTCGTTGAGGTTATTTTGCTTAGTAAGTCGGCCAAGGGCGTTATAACGATTACCTTCCATCCTCAGATATTGGCTAAAGGTACCGTTAATGCTTTCTGATAAGTTGGCTGAATATGGTGCAATCTCTTATTAGGTGGGATGCACATAATCCTTTGGTGCATCTGTGAGTTGACTTTGGGAAATTGTTGTGATTATTAACCCATTTTAAATACCCCAGAAATGTAATAAACAACAACTATCTGCCCTAATAACACTGGAAAGGGGGGTAAAATTGGCTCCCATCTTAATAGAGTGATCAGCGTAAACTCCAGTGACTCCTTAACTTTAGAGGCAAAAGGTGAATTAAGCGGAATTAGATTAATAGTAAGTGTTTGTAGTTGGCCTCTGCATCGCTCATTAACCACGGAAAACAGGTCATATTGAATTTGGACTTGAGGAGAATACTAATGACAAATTACAAGGCCATCGCTAGCTAATACTTGGGTTAGATAGTCAATGCCTCTATGTGTCCAGTCATTCTAAATCCAACATTGTTACAACTAACCAATCATTTGTATTCTCCCATACCCGTTGTATACTCTGTTACCTACACATGTATGAACGTGTTTCTCTATATAATTCCAGTAATAAGCTTGTGTCTTTACGTCAGAAAGCCTCCCAAACGTGGTCACTTTCTGCACAGACTAAATTAGTGATAGCCACTTGTCCACTCGTCTCCCTTCTAACTTTGGGGAAGATGGAGATTGTCAATTGAGTGGTTTGGGGTGTGATGATTTGTAGCTTCATAATGTGGATGTCAAAGGTCGTGTTAGAAAACACTACCCAAGTGGTGAAACAAGTCTAATGAGGTGAGATTAAACGAACAAACGAATTAGACATAACAAAGTTCTAATAAATTATACCTTTGAGGAGGTGGCACTGAATTTCCAAATTCATTGGGTTTGCAGTGGGTAAACAGAATGATCCGACTTACTTTGACAAAAATAATTTTCCTTATGATTAAACCTCAAAAGAAATTCGATTTTATTTCATTAACAGGCAATATTATGGAAGTGCTAAATAGCAAACAATACGCGTATTGATTGATTGGGCAGAAGTGAAATCTAAGATATGAACTTTTGTTCATTTTACAGAGGTACAAGATTTACGCTGTCAGAAGATGATCAGAGCTTCTTATCAGACAACTCAGAAGCTTCAGAATTTTCATCTTTCTCAAAACTCAGTCTCCAATCGAATCGTCAATGTCAACGTGATCGTCAACGTCTCAACACCGCAAGCGCAAAGCTTGGACCCATTGGAGGGAAGCGCCATATTTCTCCACGATTATCTCGAAGTCGTCCAGACTGTCTGTCATCTCCACATGATCTTCTTGCAGAAACCGGAGAGGAAGAAGAGGGCGATGATGATCAGGGTGGTGGAATTGAGTCCATTCGAAAAGATCTTGATTCTGACAAGCGGAAATCTAATCGAGGAAGGGAAGAGAGAACTGGATTGGATGATCAAACCAAATCCTCTTCCACTGAGGATAAATCAATCTCCTCTTCAACTCCTGCGGGGGCATCTGCCAGAATTCCACCCTCTATTGCCTCAGCTACCGCAACAGACATTGGATCATCTTTGGGAGCTCCTAAATCTCCCACAGCATTATCAAATTCCGCCACTGCTAGAAAACGAAGATCCAGTATTGGTCATAGATTCAGTAATGTTCTTGGAATATCCAAGAAAAATACTGCTGCAAGTGGAGGTGGTAAGGACCCAACATTTTCATGCGCTGCTAAAATAGATTTCAGTACTTGAACAATATTTTCCCCTACAGATAAGAAGACAAAGGCATCATTTCAAAGAAGTGAGGAGGTATTGCCGGCATACATTCAGACGAATGAGAAAGCGACTGTTTCGGGTGGGTACAAAGCCCCGGGTATTGTGGCAGAAGGAGCAGGATTCGGGGGTATTGCGGCTAGCAGTGCTCAATCAGCTGGTGGTATTTGTGGGGCTCAAGCTAGTCACCATGGCACTGGGCTTCAACATCAACTTAGCACAAATCTTCACCCTTCCGGTGGCTCTGGTAGAAATGATCTTGCCCTCGAAATGTGAGTTTTTGAAATTCCAATCAATACTTATTTTTTTAAATTTGCTGTCACTCTTGGTATTAAACACTGTCTATTATTTACGGGTATCCACATAGATCATTCATTAAACACTATATAATTGTTTATATTTGTCGCTCTTCAATAACCCTCCCCCCAAAAAATTAGAGTTCCTATGGGATATTAACGCTGCTGTAAGAGAAATCTGAATTAGATCATGGCTTAAAGAGAAGAATTTGACAGGGAAATCACAATGATTGAAAGAATTGTGAAAACTGACAATCGAAAAGGAAGTTTCTTTCTTGGCTGTAAATGTTAGTTGTGACGTTTCAAATTATTTGACATTTTGGCTTACAACACCGAAGAACATTAAGTTCGAAATGGAATTTATCTAGAAAGCTGCTTAATGGTGAATTGCACTGAATTTCAATTATTCCTGAAATAGTGGTTTTCACTCATGTTTAATTTTTAGTTAAACATCTTCCATATCACCTGTGATTCGTTAGATGAATAAGAAAGCATACTTGGAATTTTTGGGCAGTGTGTTAATATTTCTAGTAAATAAATAGCCGGTTATTCAACGGCTTGGCATGAGTAGGTCATTTGGGAATAGTAGTGTTAGAGATCAAATACGCTTATGTCTAACTATTTGATAATCATTCATAAATGTGGTCATTTCGTTCGAAGTTCTGCATTCCTTAATCGTTTTTTTCCCAGTTATTGTATTAATATAGCTTTACCACTCTGGGATTGCAGTTTTCTTGAGTAAACCCAATTTGAAGAATTTTATCTAAAATGCTGCTCGCTAAGAATCAGACATTTCTCTTAGGATAAAATCACGCGATGCACGAAAGAATTCAAGTTCGTTAGAAGCTTTTGAACCAAAATGCGTTGTTTAGATTCCTCAAAGATAATTTTTACACTTTCAGAGGCGAAGTACACGTGGGTGAGTTTGTTGAAGGTTTGGGTCCAGGTCAGTTGGTTGGTCGTCAAGTGCTGGGAATGCCTTGTCTTGGTGAGATTCAGCTTTCCTTCTTCGACAGAAAAGGTCATCTTGAGGTGGAAGTGATTCGAGCACGGGGTCTTCAACAGAAGAACACATCCAAACCCCTCCCCACTCCATATGTCAAACTGCACTTGTTGGAAGGCAAACAATCCGTTGAAAAGATGCGTACCACTGCCCCTGCTCGTCGTACTCTTGACCCCCTCTTCCAACAACAATTCTCCTTCTCAAACTCCTATAAGGATAAAATCCTCCAGGTATGCAAATAACCCCCTCTTTATTTCGTAAAATCCCATATTAAACATGATTAATTCTTACCCACCTTTTAATATCTACTTCACGAGCTAGTTAATATAGCAAGTATATTAAACGAAAAAAATAATTACCATTCTGATTTTTTTCAGGTGAGCGTATGGGGCGAGTACGGCAGAATGGATAAAAAGGTGTTTCTAGGAATGTGCGAAATAGTGCTGGATGACTTGAATCTCCGATCAATTGTGTTTGGATGGTACAAACTTTTCGGAATGATCGCTGCTACCGCGCAACATCATAAGCAAGTCCGCAAACAGACAGGTTCCACAGGTCCCTCTGGTGGTGGAAGCTCTTCAAATCCTTCCTCTTCATCTGTTGCCAAACAACGCGCATCTAAGATCCGACCACCTCTGGACAAAAGTTAGAAGTTCTCGTCTACAAAGTGAATAAATCTTCCTTCTCTCCCTCGGAAAGAAGACTCCTCTATCTCCCCCATGTTATCTCCTCTTCCGTGGACCACATACAACAACTAACAACCAAACAGCATAATATACCGCCGAAAATGACTTCAGATCCAATCAGATTTACCAAAAGAATATATCCTGATAACCCACTCGTAGCGAAGCTCACCCTATATCTCCATTTCTTCCCTTTCTAGTTTCTTCAATGTGCGAGTGTACATATTGGTTTCATCTTCTACTCTCTTCTCTATTTTTGTTTCTCTGTTAGAGGATGCGTCGTTCTTCATGTCACATTCTAATCAATAAACCTTCTTCCTCGCTTTTATAACTTGGATAGCAACACTGATTCTCTCAATCCACCACCTTCCTCATAACTCTTCTCTGTTCACGAGCCTTAAAGACGCCAAGTAAACTCATCATTGAGTATCTGAGTTTGAGGAAATAGTGTTGAGAATCCTGGCTTGATCGTTCTTTCCCCTCTTTATGTCCACTCTCCTTCCTCCCTCTAGGGTGTGTGTCTGGAAAAGGGAGGGTGTGTATGTCTGGGTAGTGGGATTGTACCGGCCTTTCCACTTACATGCAAAATAAACTAACTTACTATCTTGACACGTGTGCTGGCTTTTCATTTCTCTTGAAGAATATCACATTCCTACTTAATCGTCCTGTGCCTATAGACAAATGTGTACTCAATTAAAGTTGGGTTTGATTACACGGGTCGAACAACAAAGCCATTATATAATTTGGTTAGTTTTTTTCAATAAATTTTCTTCCTTTATTCAACTACGAACGGCAACTACGATCCATAACTGCCGGCAATACTTTGATTGGCTGGTTCTGAAAAATGATCATTGATCCTCATCTTCCTTCAATAAATGAAGAATCATTGTTTTGCCATCTTTGTTCATGTTTTCATTTTTCCCACTCGCATTCGTGTTGAATTTTTAAGTTGACAAAGATTAAACAACAATTATTTAAGAAATAAGATAATAATATATTCAGTATGAAATATGATAACAGAATAAGTGTAAGCATTTTGTCAAATTATAGGAAAATATTTTATTTTATTTATATCAAATGGCAGGCGTTTTGATAGTTAGCCCTGGAGCTGACTTCGGGGCTTCACAGAGAGGAGAAGGGACATCAAAGTGACAAAAAGTCAAGATGGGAGACAGAATAATGATTCACAGAGGTAAAAGAGACAGACAGACAGACACAAAGGTAGAAAAAGGTGAGGTGAATACTGTGGAATTATTCGAAGATGAAATGTAATGGGGTCATGGAAGTTTAAACTCAGCAGTCAACTGCCAGTTAATAGACTTTTTTGCTGTATGAGTATACGTTGCCCAGGGTGCACCACGTGGAGATAAGT